TTGAAGTTTCTTGTTACAACCTTGAAGATCTTTTATATCTTGGATCTAAACTTGGCGCCATTGCCAGTAACCCCAAATGGCACCGACGAAACAAGAGCAGAAAGAAAAAAGATAGAAGAAGATGAATTGATATGTAGACGAACATTTCGAACGCTCTTTCCGATCGCCCTATGATATCTACACAAATAACACTTCAACAAAGATGATATGAGAATCATTTTGGAAATCAAATACAAGGTCGATGAGGCAAGTACCAAAAAGTTTATTATTTCTAAGTTGATTTCAAGTTTTTGGATAACTTTCCTTTGTTAGGACAAGTCCAAGAGTTGCATAACATTGTCAATAAAATAAAGGATGTGTAAGATAGATCATTCTGAAACTGTTCATGTTGGTGCAATCATTGCGAAATTTTCATCTTCATGGAAATATTATAGAAAGAAAATCTTTCACAATTCTCAAGATTATGCTTTGGAAGAAATTTAAAAATATATTAGACTTGAGGAAGAGTCAAGGGCATGAAATAGAAATGAACATTATCATGATAGCACTTCCAAAACCCATGATATGGATCAACTAAACAAGTACAACAAGGATTCCAAGAAGAGGAACTCTACAAATCCCAACAAAAATAAAAAAAATAAGAAAAAATTCAAATTTTCTTATTATGCTCAAAATTGTAGACATCGCATACAATTAATGCAAGAAAGCAAAGTAAACTCCATTGACAACATCATTGCTACTGTGAGCATTGTGAATTCGATCAAAGGAAAGGTTCAAAGATGGTGCTATGAGACTTCTGCCACCATACATGTGTGCTATGATAAATCTCTTTTCAAACTTTATCAAGAATTGGATGACGAACACATTCAAATGAGAAATGAAGTTCAATCAAATGTTGTTGACAAAGGATGCATTGACTAACAATTCACATCCAGCAAGAAGATCACATTAATAAACGTATTGCATGTGCCAGATATAAATAAAAATCTTGTAAACAGTGATTTGTTGGAAAAATCTGGAATAAAGTCAAACATGTGAGTCGGGCAAACTTGTACTTTCTTGGAATGTTGTATTCGTTTGAAAATGCCATTTTAGTGATGGAATTATCAAACTTGTTGCTATTGACAAGAATATCAATAAAACTACAAATTTTAATTATATTGTTGAGTCTATTTCTTTATGACATGATAGATTAGGACATGTTGGCTTTTCTACTTTAAAAAGAATGATTAAAATCGGAATGATTTCATGTGAAAATATAAAATATAATATATGTGAATTATATGTTAAGTCTAAAATGATTAAGAAACATTTTTATAGTGTTGAAAGGACATCTAACTTGTTAGACTTAATTCATTCCGATATATGTGAATTAAATGGAATGTTAACTAGAGGAAATAATAGATACTTTATAACATTCATTGATGATCATTCTAGGTTTTACTATATCTACTTGATGAAACATAAGGATGAATCCTTTAAAATGTTTAAGATATACAAAGTTGAAGTAGAAAATAAATTAAGTAGAAATATTAAAATTCTTAAAAGTGATAGGGAAGGTGAATATTTCTCTAGTTAATTTAATTTATTTTTCTTTGTAAACAACATGACATAATACATCAATGTAGTGCAGCTAGAACATCCGAACAAAATAGTTTAGCTAAGAGAAAGAATGTGACGCTAGTTGAAATGATAAATGCTATGTTATTAAGTGCTAAGTTACCATCTAACTTATGGGGTGAAGCTTTATTAAGTGTGTGTCACATAATTAATAGATTCCTCCTAAAAGATTCAAGATTTCTCCATATGAATTATGGAAAGCGAGAAAACTAAACATTGGTCATTTCAAAGTGTGGAATGTCTTGTTTATAGTAAGAATACAGATCCTAAAAGGACTAAATTGAGTCATAGATGAATCAAATGCGCTTTTATAGGATATGCCCAAAATATTAAGGCATATTGTTTACTAAACTTGAAAACCAATGTTATGATTGAATCCCATGAAGTATAATTCCTCGAGAATATGTTTATTCAGATAATAATTCTTTAAGGGAACCTCAAGTGGAGATTTCTAGTTCTACAAGATCACAAGTAGGAACACTTTTCGAGAATGTTAAGACAAGTGAACTTTGCAGAAGTAAAAGTGTTCGAAAGGAGAAAGTGCTAGAATTAGATTTTCATCTTATTTCTTTCTATTCATTTGAGGAAAATGGGAATAGTATCACAAGAACTACTCCATATGTTCTTCAAGTGAAAACCGATCTTAAAACTTATCAAAAAGTAATATAATCTAGAGATAGTACATTTTGGAAGAAAACTGTAAATGATGAAATTGATTCAATAATGTCAAACAACACTTTGGAATTAGTCGATTTACCACCTGGATCAAAACCTATAGGCTGCAAGTTGGTATTTAGGAAGAAGTAAAATACAAACGGTACTCTTAATGCCTTTAAAGTTATGTTAGTGGTTAAAAGATATCGACAAAAAGAAGGAATAGATTACTCTGACACGTATGCACCAATTACACGAATAATATGAATTAGGATTATATTCGCTTTAGCTTGAATCTATGATTTGTATATACATCAAATTGATGTTAAAATGACATTCTTAAATGGGGATCTTGATGAGGATGTCTTTATGGAACAATCGGAAAGATTTGTTCTAAGATTAAAGCATGCAAGTTAATAAAATCCTTATGTGGATTAAAACAAATACCAAAAAGATGTCACAAAAAGTTTGACTCAACAGTAATGTCATTTGGATTTAAACATAATTGTGTTGATAAATGTTTATATTAAAAAATTTGTGATAATCATGTTATGGTCATTTTGTTTATACGTGGATGATATGTTGATTGTGAGCAATCAAATGTAAGATATAAAAGAAAAAAAGAGGTTTATATCTTCCACATTTAAAATGAAAGATCTTGTCAAGTGAATACTATACCCGGTATCAAAGTCACCAAGACTAGCGGGGGTTATATGTTAAGCTAATCACATTACGTTGAGAATGTGATTAATAAGTTCAAACACTTGAACATAAAGAGGCTAACTCTCCATTTGATCCAAGTTCAAAACTTTTAAAGAATGATGGGAGAGCTAGAGCACAACTTGAGTATGTAAATACTATCGGGAGTTTAATGTATGTTGTACAATGTACAAGACCCGTCATAGCATTTGCAGTAAATTAAATTAGTCGATTTACTAACAATCCAAGTAAAGAACATTGGAATGTTATCAGAAGGGTTTTTGGTTATTTGAAGAAAACCAATGATTCATGTCTCCAATATTCTAAATTTTCGATAACACTAGAAGGATTTACCGATGCTAGCTAGATATCTAGTATTGGTGAGAATAAATCTACCCCTGGTTGGATATTTACCCTTAGAGGAGGTGCGATCTCTTGGAAATTAAAAAAACAAACATGTATTACTCAATCAACTATAGAATCCGAATTTGTGACATTGACTGAAATCGAAAAAGAAGTTGAATGGCTTAGGGATTTAATGTATGAAATTCCATTGGGAGAAATGAATAATTCTTCTATATATATCTTGTGTGATAATCAAGCCATTTTAGCTAAATCATACAATGAAGTATATAATGGTAAGTCTAGACATATGACTATAAGACATTATTATGTCAGGAAATTAATCAAAAATGGAATAATTTCACTCACTTATTTGAAGTTAAATAAGAATTTAGCTCATCTGTTCACTAAATCGCTAACAAGGGAATTAGTGTGAACAACTAGTAGGATGATGTTAAAACTCCGTAATTAAATCCACCAATGAAGGTAACCCTACTTGACTATACTTACAAGTATACTTTGGGTTCAAAGGGTGACATCAAGTCATTCGATAAGTGGATAGATTCAACACTTATTTATTCTTTTAAATCTTATCCTAGGTTATTAGTGCTGGTTGTCACGAATATGATGATCGAGTTTCCATAACTCTTAATAAAGTTTAGATCGATAGATCAAGTATATCTAAAACTGACAAAGATACTGTAAGAACTTTCTCTATAAAAACTTTGAGGAAGTATTGCCTCAATAGAGAGTTGGTGTTTCTCTTTTAAAAGTTCGTGAACAAAAGAAGTGCAGGGCTATAAAAGCACTAAACGAGATTGTGTGGAACTTGAAACACTTGATACTTGTCTGCGTGATTTCATTGGTATCATCACTAGAAATAACATGTTCAAAGCTTTCATGCTACCTAAGATTTCGATGATTAATTTTTGAGATTTATACTAAGGTTGGATTTAAATCAAAATATATTCATACTTTATGCATAGGTGTCATTAAACTTGAGTTTGTACTCATTTTGTATTTGAACAAGTGGAGGATTTTTGGATATTATTCAAATTAATAATGATGAGTGATTTTGGAATTGGTTAACCATGAGGAAAAAAAAGTGAAAACAAAATTAGAATAAAAAACAATGAAGACCAAAAAATTGCCTAGGAGGCCAGGTGGCCACCCGGTTTTGTGTTGCATAATCAATGACCATATTGTTGAACTGGATGGGTGTCCAATTTTGTATTGGACGGTCAATTTGCTCATTGCGATTTTGAATTATGATGTTTTTGGAAGGGTTTTACATCATTTTGGCTTGGTTTTTTCACATTTTCGTGCATAGTGATTATAATTCTATATACATGAATAGTTTTCATGAATGAAAATATATCACAAGCAATCTAAGATCAAACCAAGTTTTTATATTGTTGTTCTTTAGGTTTTTTTTTCCAAGTTTTGTTTGCTTGATTCAAATTTGGATTAATGTTTGTTTACTCCTACAAACTTTTTGTTATAAAAGCCTTCAAGCACTTACATCGGTGAAGACAAATATTATTTGAAGACAACGATTCATAATCATGTTCAAATCTTTCATTTTGACGATTTCCTATTACTTGTTTTATTTTCGTTATTCATCAACTTTGTTCAACATTTAACATGATATCCGAGCAGAGTCCCCATATTTGTGAAATTTTTTGCTACTGAAGCAAACTGACCTGTAAATCTCCAGTACTGTAAACCCTTCTCATTTGACCAGAAGAGAAACTGCTTTCTCGGGAATTCAGCATTTCATTTTGCAAATTTTGAGACTCAAAAGGAATATCAAATCGAATCTGAAACAGAAAATTCTGTTTATTTTCTAAAGAATTGCTGCTATAACTCCTCTGCATGAATTTCACTGCAGATTCAGCAGCACCATCTTGAATATCATGCAGAATTGAATTTCCATAATTCGAAAAATAGTCAAAAGGAAATTGATCTTCCTTTGTTTTAACTTCAAAAACAAAATTCTCAGCATTTGTTAAATAGGATAAGGATAGATCCTCAAACTGGGCAAATGCAATTTGGCCCAAAGAATTGATTTCATCAAATGGGGGGTTTTTTTTTCTTGAAACAAAGTCAACCTATTTTTGCTATTTCCTTGAATTTCTTGAAAATTGCAGAAAATTCAAAATTGCAGAAACCCCCCATTTGAAACATTTTGTGCGAAATACCCCCTGCCGTCCAATTCTTGAAGATTGGGTTTTGGGGCTGCGATTTCTGTTGATTCTTGTTGTTTCATGGTTGACGGTTGGTTGGAGGCTGTAGATGGAGTGAGACAAGGCTGTTGGTGGTGTGATCCAATGGTCTTAGTGGCCAGAAAATGGTGATACGAGGCTCTATAAGTTTATTACAAAAGTTTAATGTTTCCTACCTAACATTTCATTTTTTCTTCTCATTCCAAATAAAGTTTCAAATGTTTGGGATTGTGAGTGGTACATTAAAAAAAAAAAATGGATTTGTAAAAGAATAAAAAGTTTAGATACTAAAAATGTAATTATTACTTTAGTTTTCAAGGAGGTTTTCTGCTATTAATCCAATTTTTAAACATAACAACTTTGTCCAGGGCTGAAAAGAAAAATTTGGTAATTGCAGTTTAACTTTTTGGCAAATTATCATGTCTATAACTTTTTTTCACAATGATATTAACTTACACTGTGATAAATAGTGTTACAATTTGTAACACCCTATGTGTCAATATTGTTACACTCTGTAAATTTTGTTACAAAGTATCTAGTTTTTTCAAATTGTAACATTGTGTTAAATCTTGTTACAGTTTTTATTATAATGTATGCAATTTTTCATAAAACTCACTAATTACATGGATATGTTGACATTTAATTCTCTCATGACCATAACCATCTCAAAAAATAAAAAATAAAAAATTTGAAATTGTGGGTTACACTTCGCATTTTATCTTGTTACAATGTATGTGATTTAGCAAACATTTTAATAAGATAGTGATTATTTTGGTAAGTGTGTTAAAACCAAAAAAGGCACAAATACAAAACACATATATAAAGACACCAGCAAGGTAACAACAAAAAGTGTATTGATCAAAATCAAACAAGGGTTCAATACAAACATACGATCTCTTATCCATTAACTATGGAATGTTTAAACTCTCTTCTAATTGAACCAGCGGCCGACCCAAGATTTCAAATCAGCACGGGCGACCGTGGATCATCGACTGTTGTCAGTAATAAAATATTAAGAGCCATGTTTGATGCCCATTTTTTATTGCAAAAAAATGCATTTTGAAATAGTGATTTGATGGAGAATGTGTGGTTAAAAATAAAGAAAAGTTTTGGATTTACATATAATATTATTTTATTGAAAAATGTACGGTTGAAAGGAGAACAAAATGTATTTTGAAAAAAAAGGAAAATCAAACAAAGTCTAAAATTTAAATATAACAATTATTTTGCTCAAACTGAATATATATAATTTTGCTTGTGTTTGACACTCATTTTGGGGAAAGAACGAATTATGGAATAGTGATTGATTGAAGAATGCGTGGTTAAAAAGTAATGAAAAGTTTTATATTTGTGTGTAATATTATTTTATTTGATGAATGTGTGGTTGTAATGAAGAGAGAGAAAAATTTAATGTAATGTAATGTAATTTAATGAGGGCCAAACAGGGGTACTTGTCATAATGTTGATCATA